TAATGAGCCAAATTCTCCACTCTGTCAAGCAGAAAGTCACAGATAATGTCTAAATTTGTCAACCAAAAAATAGTAGTCTATTATTCAGAGGTGTAAAAATAAATCCCAGAAAAATGAAACTGAAAACAGAAAAAAAGGCAATGAAAAGTTAAAATGTGTTCCCTTAGGCCAGCCCTATAGCCTAGCAGTTAAGGGAACCAGATCCCACATGGCCAACCAAGTCCGAATCTCGCCCTCATGGCTTGAAAGACATGCTAGTCACGTGTGCATGCCCGGGATTTCAACTGAATGAGAGATGGAGGAGAGGAATTGTGGCCTGTGTCCAATTCGGGGCGCTTTCTCCCCCTCCTGCTCTCTGTTGCTCCGTCTTGTCTCAGTCTCTGTCACACACCTTCTAGCAATTGTTTTTAAAGTTCATATCCTATTGTGGAACAGATTGAAGCTATGGAAAAGGACAGTAGAAGGCTGTTAGTTTTTATTGTAAAACATACTGTATTGGACCAGCAGTTGGCATAATGGTTATGTCGCTGGACTCCCATGTACTCGACCGCGGTTCTAGTCCCGAACCTGGTGACTTAAACTCACACTGGGCACTTGTGCATGCGTGCCCAAGATCCCAAGAGGAGAATGGAGGAGAAGGGATTGCGGAGTGGCCATGGGGGCTGATTTCTCTCTTTCTGTCTCTCTGTGTCTTTTTGGCAAGCCCACACACCCTATAGCAAAAATCTGTCCAAAAGAAAAAAAGAAAACTTACTCTATTATTTGAACATTTTAAATTATTTGCATGTGCTGCTTTAAAGAAAAAAATTTCAAATATAATCTTTCTGAAGAAAAATCTTGCAATTGTTGTTGTTGTTAAAGTTTTTGCCATAGGGTACATGTGCTCACTGGAAAGAGACAGGGACAGTGAGAAACGAACCTCCAGGCACACTGCAGCTGTTTTCCTCCATACTCCTCCTGGGATTTGGGGAACACACACACACACACAAGCCTGGTGTTATTTCAAAGCCACCAGGTCCAGGATTTGAACTGTGGTCAGCCACGTGGGAGTACAACATCTTAACCACCACTCCAACTGCTGGCCCTCAGTTGTATCTTATTTTCAACTTTTCTGTTGCTGCTTGGTTTTTTTTGTTTTTGCCATAGAGTAAGCAAGCTTGCCAGAGAGACATGCTACCCTTGAGATGCAAATTCAAACATTTCCATAGTCAAAGATATGCGAGGTGAACCTTCTTTCAGGAGTGGTACCGATTTCAAATGTACCCCCCTATGCCATAAAGCAAGATTGTAAGCCACCTGAACTTCCTACTGATTCCTAGCTCATTAGCTAGGCTCACTCTAGTCTACCTCTGTGTCCTTACCAACTCTGATATTTTGCTGTTGCGCCACGGTCTGGCCCCTAGTTCAGATTCTCATGCTGACTTACAGAAGCCACATTGGTAATGGGATACTCACCTAGGATGGTGTTTCATGGCAGCTCAGGTCCAAACTATGGCCGTTTTTTACATTCCACTTCATTTCTTTGTACCTTTATTAGAAGTATTTATGTTTTTGTCCCTTTTTTTCCTTCCCTTTGAGAGATTTTTTTAAAAGAATTATTTTTATTTAATTTTATTTATTTATTCATTTATTTTAATTTGACCAGAGATGGACAGAGAGAGAGAAAATAAGCCACCAGGTCCAGGACTCGAACTGTGGTCAGCCACGTGGGAGTGTCCAGTGTCTTAACAACCATATCACCTGCTGTCTCCCCTTTTGAGAGATATTTTTACTATAGGGCACGTGCGGTCCCTGGAGAGAGAAAGACAAACAGAAAGCAAGAAATCACCCCTTAGAGGGGATCTGGGGGATGGCCACGCCACAATGACTTCTCCTCCATTCTTCTCCAGGGATCTTGGGCATGCAAGCACATGCACCCAGTGTGATTTTTAAACCACCTGGTCCAGGACTCAAACCGCACTTGGCCAGGTGGGAGTCCAGTAATATAATCACGGTGGCATCTGTCGGCCCATATTTCTCCCTTTTCAAATACTTATTCATAGTCTTTGATATTCTGTTGTCATCATTTTAACTGTCAAAAACCGAAATTACAAATTTAATTTAAATATTGTTCTTTTCTTTGTGATTCTAGAACTGGGCAATACCTCATCCTATAGGCCTTTACCAGGAGGCTGGATACCAGGCCTGGGGGCCTGGAAAAAACACTGGCACATGTGCATGTGTTCCCAAAATCCCAGGAAGACAACAGAGCAGACACAATTGTGCCATTGGCATCCTCCCCACGGCTGCTGTTTCTCTCTTTTTTGTGACTGCATGTGCCTTACAGCAAAATTAAAAAACAAACAAACAAAAGCAATAAAAAAAACTCCCTCCTGTAAAATAGAATGAAGGGGATCCGCAGATGGTGTAGCAGTTATGTTGCTGGACTCCCACATAGTCAGCTGTGGTTCGAGTCCAGGACCCAGCAGCTTGAAACTCATGTCAGGCACATGTGTATGTGCCCAAAATCCCAAGAGTAGAATGGAAGAGAAGGGATTGCGGTGAGACCATCACCCAGAAGGTGATTTCTCTCTTTCTATCTGTCTTTCTCTGTCTCTCTGGCGAGCATATGCACCCTAGAGCAAAAAAAAAAAAAAAAAGCTCTCCAGAAATAAATAAGTAAATAATAAAATAAAATAGAATGAATTCGTTCTGATGAGCCAAGCAGAAAATTTTGACTTTACAGACAGAAAAGAGCTAAAGAAAACAGAAAAATGGGAACAAAAAGTGAACTGGTCCTCTCAAAATTACTTTCCTTACAGTGTTAAAATAGAGGGGAACTTCCTTATTACACCGAGTTGGTTGGAATCTCCTGTTTTTTGGTAACTGAGCCATTTCAAACTTTTGTTCAATTATACAGCATTTGGTGCATATGACTCCATTCTGCTTTGGCCTGATCTGCTGGTACCTAGTGTGGGAGGATAGCCCAAAATACTGACATTCCGTCTTTTTTTTTTTTTTAGAGTTTTTGCTAAAGGGTGCATGCGCTCTCCAGAAAGACAGAAAGTGAGAAATCACCCCCCAGGGGGGATGGCCATGCCACAATCCCTTCTCCTCCATTCTCCTCTCCGGATCTTGGGCACACACGCACACGCACCCAGCGTGAGTTTAAGCCACAGAGTCCAGGACTCAAACCACGTCGACTACATGGGAGTCCAGTGACATAGCCATTACACCAACTGCTGGTCCCAACATTCCATAATTTTTTTCTTTTTTTTGAGAGGTTTTTTGCTATAGGGCGCGTGTGCTCGCCAGATAGACAGAGACAGAGACAGAAAGCGAGAAATCACCCCCCCCCCCCCCCGGGGGGGGGATGGCCATGCCGCAGTCCCTTCTCCTCCGTTCTCCTCCCAGGATCTTGGGCACGCACGCACACGCACCTGGCATGAGTTTAAGCCACCGGGTCCGGGACTCGACTACATGGGAGTCCAGCGACATAGCCATTAATGCTAACTGCTGGTGCCCATTCCATAATTTTTTAAGTTTGCTTGTTTTCCTCCATGAAAGAGAGCAAGAGCAACACCTCCAACCAAGTGTTAGGGCCATAATCCACCCTAGTCTCACCCAGCTGAGGTCATGAGTGCACACACATATAACATGCTCAAGACTGTTCCAGGACACGAACCCAGGACCTTCCTATGTAGAACCAGTTACGTTACTACTACCTCAGCTGTTTCCTCACACATTTTACTTCATAAGACCTTTCCAAGATGACTGTGATCAGCCTTTCTAAGGTTGCGTGGAGTGGGACTTTCCCACTAGCACAAGGCTGTTGTGTCAGTGTGTGTTAGTGTAAGGCAGTGTGTGGCACGGGCTCTGGTATGCACAGGTGAGGGTCCCATTTCAGCCAACTTCTAGCTGCCACTTACTAGCCACTTACATTCCTGTGACTCAGTTTCTTGTCAGTCAAATAGGGGTAATAATTGTACCTACTCCTCAGAATTGCAGGGAGAATTCAAAACATTAATACATGCTGATACATGCTGAGGCCAGCAAGTGGCATGGTGGTTGAGGCACTGGACTACCACGTGGCCAACCACGGTTCGAGTCCTGGACACGGTGGCTTGCTTTTCTGCTTCCCTTCTCTATCTCAGGTTTTCCCTGGTGAGCACACATACACTATAGCAAATTTTAATTAATAATGATAAATAAAATTATATAGGGACCAGCAGTTAGTGTAACGGCTATGTCACTAGACTCCCACGTAGTGGACTGCGGTTCGAGTCCCAGACTCGGCAACTTATACTCACGCCGGGCATGTGTGTGTGCGTGCCCAAGATCCTGAGAGGAGAATGGAGGAGAAGGGATTGTGGCGTGGCCATCCCCCCCGGGGGGTGATTTCTTGCTTTCTATCTCTCTGTCTTTCTGGCAAGCGCACGTGCCCTATAGCAAAAATCTCTCCCAAAAAAAGGAAAAAAAAGGAAAGAAAAAAATTATATAATTCTTTTTTAAACAATTAATACACGCAAATCATTTAGAACCATGCTGCCTTACACATGGTAGGTGTTCAGTCAATGTTAGAAAAAGAAATGGAGTCTAGAAAGGGAAAGGGGAAAAAAATTCAAATGTGAATTTCAGACAGCCTGCTTTCTCCCAAATACGAAGGTAAGTTCTAAAATTTTAAAATAACAATAATAATAATGGCAATAAATATACACTAGATAAAAAACCTCCCTCAAAAAAAAATAATAATGTTACCTATTGTATTAGAGAGAGGGAGAGTCCATTGTAAAAATCAACAAGATCTGCCAGGCATGTAAAACCGACCGACTCTAACTACTGAATAGCCACACTCTGCCACTGAAAACAAGTCGTGCAAGTGTGCCTAACACAACGTACAGAAACACACCTTACTCGGCAAGAGATACCTTTATTCTTAAGATAAGAGAAACACACCTTGAAAAATGACTGCTGGCCAGATTACACTGGCCAATGGAAACCTCTGAATCTGCTCTTTGTCTGACGTATAGAAGAGAAACAGTCACTTCTCCTCTTCACAGAGCTTCACTTCCATTGAGAGTCTCTCCCAGGCCACGAGGCGTTTCCTGCTCTCAACCTAGTTCCTAACTGTAAGTACTCTAAACATTTCTTTAAAAACTTAACACTGCAAAGGTTTTCTTCAAAAGCTATTTTTTTTTTTCCTAACATGAGGTCCAGCTGAAAAAACCAGTGTTTTCTGATCCAGACTTAAAGTTCGATTTTATTGAACTTTAGTAAATTTAGTTATCTGTAACAATTACATGCTAAGCATTTTGTTAGGTGCCAGGCTTTTCAAAGTAGTAGAAGATCTCAGCTTTGAATCCTCATCAAATACTGCTTTAGCAAGAAATCTATATTATGTGTTGACTGTAATTTTACTCTTTATTGTAATCCATATGACCTTAATTATTAGTTTCATTCTTTATTTCGATATATATGCATGTTTACCTGTGCTGGTTTCTTTGTGCTTTGAGAATTTTTCATCTACTTCAAATATTTAGAAACAAAAGATTTCGCTAGTGAATTTTTGTTTTGAAAAATCATACCTCAAAATTAAGTTCTGATGTTTCACTGATATATATAGAGAGAGAGATATCACCTTTCATATCTCACATTGATGGTTTAGGAGATGAGAAATTATAAAACAGAAATGTTTCAATCAAACTAATATGTACAAAGAAATTCGATTCAGAACAGAAAATTCAATTCAGAAAGAGAACAGTAGAAAGAGGCAGTAGAGTAATCAATATTTTTTAAATACTTTTTTCTAAGAATTATTTAACGTTATTTATTCACTTATTTATTTTAATTTTAGAGAAACAGAGTTAGAGAGAGAGCGAGAAAGAAAGTGAGAAAGCAAGCCACCAGGTCCAGGACTCGAACCGCGGTCGGCCATATGGGAGTCCAACGCCCTTAACCACTACGCCACTTGCCAACCCCCAAGTAATCAGTATTTATACTATGTATTAATATAATTGATATAGTATAATAATTATTATTATCTAATAAGAGATTGGGCTAGCCTTCTCAAGCGAGAGGTTTTCATAGGCAGGGAATACAAGGTACAAGCGTGGTTCTGAGATAAACGGATAAAATCAAGGCGGTAAAGATATGAGTCAAATATTACAATATTTCCTGGCCTTGAGGCTATTCTAAGGAAAGAACCTTCTAAATGTCATTGTGGTCTCATTCTTCGAAACACGTCCTCACGAACCCATTTAGTTCCTCTTGCCTTCATTTTCCCTTTGTCCTGAGTGGCCCTGCCATCTTTTTTATCACTCTCTGCTCCTGTGGGTTCGAAGAGAGCCTGAAACCAAGTAGCTGTTTGATCACACGTCGAGAGCAGACCTGCTGGCCAAGGCTAGGGAGCTGCAGACATGTCCTCAGTCCTGACCCACCTAGCAGGAGACTTCCCCACATGGGGTGTTCAATAAATAGGCACTGAACTGAATGGGGTCTGCAGTTATTAGTAACAGAAATGAAAAAGCCCAGGGGCATTCTCCAAGGTCCCTGACATTGCATTCTTCCAGATGCCAGGGCTACTGCACAGGTGGGCAGGTAAGAGGTGAAGATTTGGTTCTGTGAATGCTCCTCTGGCATGTGGGGAATCCTGGCAGGGGCTGCACCTGCCTGGAGGAGGGGATATTGTTTTTCCTATTCTCACCACACAGCCACATACTCACCAAACTCTGACTACACAGAAAAGCCACATTTTTGTACCCTCCAGGACAGCATCTCTGCTATCGGGGCAGCAGCCTCATCGGTACTTACTATAGCTTTCTATACCTCCTCCCGTCCCAACTCAATCCACTCTCTGAGAATGCTGTCCAGAAATGGACAGAGTGAACAAGCTGGTCCTACGACTTCCATATATAGTAAGCTTTGAGGACCACTAAAATAAGGAGAAAGGCTATAGGCGACCTCACAGAAAAGTCTAACAACATTAACCCAGCACCAAGGAGATTTCAAGGAAGTTTAATTCCCTCCACTTGCAGATGATCTTTTACCTTGAATGGCTGAGGTTAAAGACTATTGACTACTTAATGACTGAAGCAAAGAAAATTGCGGTTTGAGGGCTGGCCTATAAAGGAAGCAGGATCCCATGTGGCCAATGATAGTTTGAATCCCAGGCCTGGCAGTTTAAAACATACCAGGTGTGTGTGCATGTGTGTTGCATGTGCCCTGAATCCCAACGGGCTGGAGACATGTAGGAGAAAGGATTATGGGGTGACCTTCCCCATGAAAAGGTGTTGTACCCCTTTCCTCCTCTTTCTCTCTTTGGCCAGTGGAGGTGCCCTCTCGCAATAAAAAGAAAGAAAAATGCAGTTTGTTCTAGATATTGTACATTTGCTTATATCTTATATTTTGCTGCAACTTAAAAGATACCTATAATTTCGAATGATAACAGGGTTTTGCATATGAGTGTGCCTCCTCCCTGTTTTACAACTATCAAGGATAGTAATATCCTATGCATTTCTTACACAAGTAAGAAATCTCATGTGAGGGGGCCAGTCAGGTAGTATGGTGGTTAAGGTGCCTGGGTCCTACATGACTGTACAGTTCAAGTTCCGGACCCAAAATCCCAAGAGGAGAATGGAAAAGAACGGATTGCGGACTGGCCAATCCCCTAGGGGAGGGTGATTTCTCACTTTCTCTCTCTCCCTACCCCCTCTCTCTAACTCTTCCCCTGCCCCATGTGCACATACCATATAGTAAAGGAAAAAGGAAAAAAGAAGAAGCTAAGAAAAAAAAAAAATCTCATGTGAGAATTTATGTAACTCTTGGGCCAGCAGGTGGCGTGGTGGTTAAGGTGCCGGGTTCCACATGCTGACAACATGGTGAGTCCAGACCTGGTGGTTTGAAAAACATGGATGTGTGTGCATGTGTGCTCCAAATTGCAAAAGGAGAATGGGAAGGGATTGTAGTGTGTCCAGTCTCTCTTTGGGAGTGATTTCTCACTTCTTTCTTTCATGAGCATACACGGCCTTTTACAACAAAAGAAAAGGTTTTATGACTCTAAAATCCCAAGGAGTGAAGGGAGGAGAAGGGATTATGATTTAGCCATTTTTTTTTCTGGAGAGGTTTTGCTATAGGGCACGTATGCTCGCCAGAAAGACAGAAAGAGACAGAAAGAGAGAAATCGCCCCCCAGGGGGATGACCACGCCGCAGTGCCTTCTTCTTGATTCTCCTCTCGGGATCTTGGGCACGCACACACATGCGCCCAGTGTGAGTTTAAGCCACTGGATCTGGGACTTGAACCGCAGTCAACTACATGGGAGTCCAGCAACTTAGCCATTACGCCAATTCCTGGTCCCATAAGTTATATGACTTCTTACAGAATCAACTAAAGGTGACAAATGGAAGTTCCAGGTACTGGTTCCTCTAGACCTGCTCTTCTTTTTTTTTCCCCCAAGATTTTTGCTATAGGGCACATGCACTCACCAGAGAGACAGACAGAAAGCAAGAAATCACCCTCCTGTGGGGGATGGCTACATCACAATCCCTTCTCCTCCCTTCACTCCTTGGGATTTGGGGCACGGACACACACATGCCTAGCATGAATTTCAAGCCACCAGGTCTGGGATTTGAACCACTGTTGACTATGTGTGAGTCCAGTGATGTAACGGTTACTCCACCTACTAGTCCCTAGGCCTGTTCTTCTTTGCAGGCCTGGGCTGAGCACCTTGTCTGTCTGTCACTGTGGGTCAGGTTCCCTAGAGGATCTCCAAGATAGCATCAGAAACCTCCTGGGGCCGTGTTCTGCTTCAGTTCCTGTGCTCTGGTTGGTGGACGCACATGGCTCTCTACAATTTCCCACGTTCAAATGAGGAAGTCACCACTCAGCCATGGTAGCAGTGGCACACACCACAAACGCTGCTACATGGCCACTGAGGCCCAATGGGAGGTCAGGGTGGGGTTGCCCGTCCAAACTTAAAACCAAAGTGGCACTACCTGTGTGCCTAGAGGGAACCAGGTCTAGCTGATCAGTGTTCAAATTCTAGCCCCGGCGGCAAGCTACCAGGCAAACACACATGCACTCAGAACCCTGACAGGATGAAGAATTGGAGGTGACATGACCAGGCTGCATGGGGAAACGGTTCTCACCCTCTCTGCCTCCTGCTTGCATATACCCTCTGGCATTAAAAACACCTCTCCCCTTCCCACATAAGTAAACAAATGAATGAACTTTTTTTGAGGGAAAAAAAAAAAAAAAAGAGGAAGACAAAACTAGTAAAAGAAATAGAGACATGTAGCTTGGACTGTGGGGTTGGGGAGCATTTCGGGGGCTACAGGGAGGAAGCGACCTTGGTATGACTCACCAGCAGTCGCACGCAGAGATCTCAAGGCAGGTGCTTGCTGCAGAACACAGAGCTTACTGACAGCTGGACTTCAAAGGCCCTGGGAGAACTCCGGGTCCCAGCTGCTGGAAAGGCCAACGGCAGCCTACATGAGTACACAGACACGTATGCCGCACACGGCGGGCAGGGTAGGGGGAGGGTCAGCAGAACAGTATGCGCTAGTTCTTATTCTCAAAACCCTCAGACTGCTGTCATTATATTAAAAATCATGGGATAAACTAGTTAAATGAACATGAGTTTCTTCTGAAAGAGATCAAGGAAAGGGTACTTATTCATTGACTCACTCAACGGCTGCTTATTGAGTGCCAGTTGTGTACCAGGTCATTGTTAGGGCCTAAGAGAAAGACACACACACACACCCCTTTATTGGGATCATTGGCACGAACTCTTTTAAACAAATTTTTTTTGGGAGAAGTTTTTGCTATAGGGTGCGTGCACTCGCCAGGAAAAGAGAGACTGAGAGACAGAAAATGAGAAATCACCCCCCAGGAGGGATGGCCACGCTGCAATCCCTTCTCCTCCATTCTCCTCTTGGGATCTTGGGCATGCACGCACATGTGCCCGACGTGAGTTTAAGCCACTGGATCCGGGACTCAGACCGTGGTCGACTACATGGGAGTTCAGCGACATAGCCGTTACACTAACAGTCATTGCTTTTTTACTTCAATTACAAAAGAAGTAAGTGTTATACATTTTTTACAATAATGAATATTAGAAATATAAAAGTAAA